CAGGCCTGGACCCCTCTCCCTCCCCCGTGTCACGCCAGGCCTGGACCCCTCTCCGTCCCCCGTGTCACGCCAGGCCTGGACCCCTCTCCCTCCCCGGTGTCACGCCAGGCCTGGACCCCTCTCCCTCCCCGGTGTCACGCCAGGCCTGGACCCCTCTGCCTCCCGGTGTCACGCCAGGCCTGGACCCCTCTCCCTCCCCGTGTCACGCCAGGCCTGGACCCCTCTTCCTCCCCCGTGTCACGCCAGGCCTGGACCCCTCTCCCTCCCCCGCGACCCGGGGCTGCCACCTCTCCCTTCTTCCCTTCTCCTCCCTCCGGTCGACACGCTCAGTCCCTGGGCCTCGATTGGCAGCCTGACGCCCTGGAGAAGCTTCTCTCCGTCCCTTTCCTGCACTCTCCCGACTGTCCCTCCCTGGTTTTCAGTGGTCACAGCCCTGTTTCCAGGGCTCTTGTCTGGGTCTCCCGCCCTAGGTGAGCCCGTTTTCCATTACTGATCCAGAGCACGTTTGCTCCTGTTCCGAATGGTTTGGCAACTGGAATGTTGGAGGCTATGTCGTGAACACAGTATTTTTAACATCCTAGTTAATTTTCCCAAGAGTCCTCCATACTAGCTTTATTTCTCCCTTCTGATGAGAAGAGAGCTCACGGGGTCATTGACGCGTTGCCCTGGCACTCATTTATACAATGCTGTGTGCTCAGGGTGTCGAGGATACAGCAGTGTAAGAAATGGACGTGCTCCTGGCCCTGATGTAACTCAGTCCTTGTGGAGAAAACAATACCGTCTTAAGTGCTAAGGCTGGAACGTGGGAGGATGGATCGAGAATGACAAGGCAGAGGGCTGGAGTTAGCCGACCCTCAGCGCACACAGCTTTCTTGCTAGTACTGTCTGCAGGGTACTGCCCACCATCACGGCTCCCTTCTGTGAGGACTTGACTTTCCACCACCCGCCTGAGAATTTGCCATGTTGTTGTAGGGCTCCTGAGTTATTTCCCTGAGTGTGTATGGGACACGTAAGTCAGTTGGTTCTCTGTTGGGATCCCACTGTGGCATTTCTGAACTTGAAAGTACACCAGAATCTTGGAAAGAAATTCACCCTGGTGTGACAGCAGGAGGAGGTTTATTTCATTTGTACTGCTCAGCAAGTTACTTGATTTGCTCTTTGGATTTTTTTTTGTTTAAGAAGAGGGTGTCAGATCTCCTTACACCTGGAGGTCCAAGCCATTGTAAGCCACCTGATGTGGGTCCTGAGACCTGAGCTCTGGCCCCTTGGAAGAGCAGCAAGTACTTTTTCATCTCCCTGGCCCTGTTTGTGTGGCTGGTTTGAGACAGGCTGCAGGAATCCTCCGGGTTCTGCTGGGATTACATAGGTGCATGCCACCACACCCAGGTGATAAGCTGCTTGGGAGGTAGGTTTGCTAGCTTGCAGAATTGTTCAGGTGAGTGAGACGGGTAGCCTCTGGCACTATTAACAGTCCTTACATTTACTTCTCGGTTTTACCTCTTCCAATAGGTCTTTGTCTTTGAGTCTCTAGGAAAATAACCTAGAGTTAAAGTTTTGTGATGAAGGTTTTATCATGACTTATGTCTAAGTCTCTCAAGTTATTCCTTTAGGGAATATTTTCAAAAGTGGAAAAGTGGAGCTACAGGAAGGGGAGGTTGTACCTAATTTTACAAGTACAAAGGACTTACTCCCTCTCTAGTTTGTTAAATCAGCGTAGACTGCTGGGAACCTCAGGGATCTATATATGGGTTTTTTAAACTCTGGGTATTCTGGCATATGTCCCTTCTCCATTTGAGAGTCTCCCGGCTAGCATTTAAGTAGTGTTTTGCCCGTACAGTGTTCACATACTGGTATGCTTTTAGAGACAGTCACTCTTTTAACTGTGCCTCTCAGTCAGGAAGTTAGTGTTGTCAGTGAACAACCCTTGGCACAAAGTATCCACTAGATGGCAGACTCACCACTGTATCCTCAGGGACAACACTACTTCCTGTCAGTTCAAGACCTCAAATTAAACCTTTAATGGCCCCTTCTAAATACCTGGTGTGGCTGAGGGGTTTAGACTTAAGGTGGATTTTAGCCAAATGGCTAAGGAGCAGTCAGACTCAGACTTTTGGACCTGGGAGCTTGTGATGTAGGTATGGTATTTAACTCTGTCAAGTCTATGACAGCTGCCAAGTTGAGCACTTTTATTCTGGGGAGTATCACCAGTAGTACTTTCTATGCTTGTCTGTCAGAGGAGCCTTTGTTTTCCTCTCCTCAGCTGTTCTTCTGTGATTGTTACATCTAACACTTTGGGCATCGTTTGTAAGCTTACAGTCTATATTCCACAGGTCCTGGCTTGTCATCCATACTCGTGAATTCGATGAACTCACAGGCAAGTGAGCTAAATAATTGTTGTGTAGGTACTCTGTTGACTTGTCTTCTGTCCAGCATGGATGACTCATCGTGTGCTCATTCTTACTCCTGGCTTTGCTTGGCCTGACTGTACAGCAGAATCAAGATGTTTTTCTGGGGGACTAGGATTCTGCTTGGGGCTTTTGAGCTTATAGTTCCTTCATTTGGCATTACCTTGATTGCCCTACGGAACTAGCAGTTTGGCGCAGAGTTGGTGGGTAGTTGACAAAATAGGGTAATGGGGTTTCTTTGTCAGTAAGTAACAGTCCTTTCATACGTGGACAATTACACCTTCCAAAATAATTCTTTAAATACATTTTGAGTTTTATCTTAGCTTTATTACTAGTCTCTCAGGCTTTAGAGAGGAGAGAAATTCATCTCTTCTTTGCTTCTGTAGGGAAAATCCACACGATAGTTATCATATAAAACCAAAGCTAAAATGTTTCTTTCTTTCTTTTCAAGAATGGGTTTCTCTGTGGAACAGCTCTGGCTATCCTGGAATTCGCTTTGTAGACCAGGCTGACCTGGAATTCAGAGATCCATGTGGCCTAAAATGGTATTCTTATGTGGTACAGATAAGTACCTGTTTTTCTATCCTTGACTATCTTGGGGCAAGAAATTCAAGTTGAAGATAGGATACAGTCCTAGGATTGAAAGCCTCCCTAGCTTTTGTGAATGTCACTTGGAATTTCTGTGGTACTGCAGAGCCTGAGGGGGGAAATGTTGAGTTGGCTGTAAATATAGTGCACATTTTACCTCACAGATCCATTGTTTTGGGTCTTTGAAACTAAGATTTTTGGATCTGGCCTTTTTAAAACAATCTTTCTCAGCACTTCCCCTGGGATTATGATTTCTGTGGTGACACCCTCACCAGTTCTGTTCTGTGTGAAAACAAGGAATTAAGTTAATCTGGGTGTTGTTGCCAGAGTTCTGGGAACCCAGGCAAGAGGTAGAATACCATGTTCAAGGCCAGTTTGAACTGCGTGAGGCTGTCAGAAACCAAGGGCTAAGTGTTGCTTAGCATTCATAAGACTGGGCATTGGACACTCCTGTAGCTAGAGTTTTCCTGCTTTGCCCACAGTCAGGACAAATCTTTGTCACCCGCCAGTCCCACAG